TTCGCCGGGAAAGTGACCCCCACTCTTGCCGGTCTCCCCCCCCGCCCCTTCCCCCTCCTGCATCAAGGCCGAGGGGCCACAGCCCGGAACCGCAGAGCCTTTTCTTTAATCTGCCCCCTCCCCGCCCCCAAACACAGCAGAATCCTACTTTTCCCTCCCCAGCCTCTAAGGGAGGGCGCCTGACTGCATTTTTCTTTCTCCCTTTTCACGCTGCTTTTTCTCTGCTCCTCCGGCGAACTCCTGCGGGAGAGGCCCGGTTCTTCCTTCTGCCCCCTCCCCGCCTGCTTTTCCTTCCAGCAACCCGGGGCCCCGACACTCCCTCTTCTGCAATGGGGAGACACCCCGTGACCTAAGAGATGTTGGCGTTGGCTCTAAGACGATCTCTCCAAAGCACGTTATTTCCCCTCCCGACTTCGTCCGGGCCAGTCAAGGGCGCCGCATTTTCTCCTTGCACGCGCGACCCTCGTTTTCTTGCGGGCCACTAGGCTCTCCTCCTGACCCACAAGCCTTTCCCATTCTCGGGCCTGTAGCCTGAGATGGGCTCTCTCACCCCCAAAGCTTTGGGCGAATGGCCAGTACTGCCTCCAGCCCCTGCTAAAATGGAAAAGGCTCGGACTTTACCCATGTAAGAAATGAATAAAAATTAGGAAGGGGGCGAATGAAACTGTTCGACGGGAGGAGGTGAGAGGGTTTCATCTCAACCCACTGCCACTCCTCCTCCCCGCATTACAAGACCTTCATTCGGCGGCCGTCTGAAAAAGACGATCTTGGAAAAGATTCTGACGCCGTTCCAAAGCGCAGCGCACCCCCTTCCTCCCCCTCTTTCCCGCAATGGCACTCCGTAGGGTACATTTGTTGCCCCCTCTTTGGGTAAGCCTTCGGGAAGGGGAAGAGAGGAAAAAGGGGAGCAAGAGGGGTGTTTCGGGTTCGCACCGCAACTTCCCGCAGCCGGCTTTTGGCGCATAATTTGCCCTTTAATTATGAGCCATCACGCCGTTTTCGACTCCTAGCGACCACACAGATAGATGTGCCCTACGTCTGGTGAAAGTGCCTTTTCTGCGCCCGTTTAGAGGTGCGAGCGAGCTTTCTACAGATCATCGAATCCTTTTACAGTCCTTTAAGTCCTGGGGGAGGGCAAGGAGGACGGGTGCAGGAGTCCTGAATGAATTCCGCACACCTCGTCCTCTCCAACCACCCATTTTGCGGTCCAGCCTCACCAAAAGTCCAAGGGATGGTGACCCCCGGCCGTGGCCCTTTCCTTGCTCGTTCGCCCAACAGTTCTGTCGCCTCCCCGTTCGGACCGGAGCAAGCCCTGGACGGCAGAGCCCCAAGCCCTGCTCTCTGCCTACCCCGCAGCGACGGATCTCTCTCCGCGATCTCTCCAATCGCGAATACAAGTAATAGTACTGAAATTCATTAAATTTATATGCCGCCCAACTCCTAGCGACT